TTGCTGCGGCCGACCTCGCTGGTTTGGAGTCGGTTGGGGCAGCGTCTACCCCTAGCGGGAGACGCCGCCCTGGCAAGGGCAAGGGGGGCAGGGGCGCTGGAGGAGCTAGCGGGGGCGGTGGAGGCGGCGGTGGAGGCGGTGGAGGAGGTGGGGGTGGCGGTGGGGGTGGTGGCGGGGGTGGAGGTGTAGGTGGCGGCAGTGGAGGCGCAGGCGGCAGCGGCGGTGGCGGAGGGAGCGGAGGTGGCGGCGGTGGAGGAGGAGGCGGCGGAGGAGGTGGAGCTGGTCGGGGTGGCGCTGCGCAGAGGGTCGGCTCCGGTGGTGGTCAGCGCCAGCAGCAGCAGCAGCAGCAGCAGCAGCAGCAGCAGCAGCAGCGCACTCGTGACGTCCCCTCCCCTCAGCAGCTCCGTGAGTGGTACACTGCACGCCAGAGGGGTGGGGGTACTGGTCCGTGCACCTACGTCCTGCGCACCGGCGACCGCGCGGGTGAGCAGTGCGGGGGTGCGCACTCCACCCAGCGCTGCTTTGGCCGCCTGACGGACGCTTGGCGTCACCAGTTCCCTGAGGCCACTGAGATCCCCCGCTGGGGTGAGCTGTCTAGGGCGGGTGTAGCTGTCTTTGACCTTGACTTTGATGCTATTCTTGCTGCCATGTATACTGTGACTATTAGTGATGAGGGTGACTGTTACCGGTGTTTTCCGCCCGACCCGGGCATTGAGACTGCTGCTCTAGGTACTGGTGAGGCTGCTGCTCTAGGTGCTAGCGAGGCTGCTGCTCTAGGTGCGTCTGCTCCCTCAGGTACTGGTGAGTCTGCTCTCTCAGGTTCTGCGTCGGCTTCGGCCTCCCACACCTTCACCCTTGACTCGGGGGCTTCTCGCTCCTTCTTTCGAGACCGCACCACACTCACGCCGCTTGGCCGGCCAGTTGCGGTCTCTCTGGCAGACCCCTCTGGGGGTCCTGTCCTTGCTCACTTCTCCACTGTCCTCCCGTGTCCGGCGGCCCCCTCTGGCACCCTGTCTGGTCTTTACCTCCCCTCGTTCTCTACGAACTTGGTGAGTGGTGCTGACCTACAGGATGCGGGGGTTCACCAGTTCACTCCTGCGAGTCAGCGGGTGACCCACTGCACGGACGCTCGGACAGGCCGACACCTGGCCACGTTTACACGTCGGCCGGGGTCGAGCCTGTACACACTGACCACTGCGTCTCCCCCAGTCCCTGCGTCTGGTCAGGTAGCTGCGTCGGGTCAGGTGTTTGCTGCAGCGTCCAGGTCTGGTCCTGAGTCTGCCCCCTGCTCGTGTCGCCTCCTGTCTCACGAGACTCTCCTCTGGCACCACCGCCTTGGTCACCCCTCCCTGCTTCGTCTCCGGAGCATGGCCTCCCGTGTCCTTGTCTCTGGTCTTCCCCGGTCCCTCCCTCCACTTCCTCCGGGGCCTGGCCCTACCTGCGTCCCCTGTGTCGAGGGACGACAGCGGGCTACCCCTCACTCCTCCCAGTTTCCTCCGACAGAGGCCCCGCTGCAGACGCTTCACATGGACGTGTGGGGCCCGGCCCGCGTCCGTGGACAGGGTCACGAGCGCTACTTCCTGCTGGTGGTTGACGACTACTCGCCTTACACCACAGTCTTCCCCTTGCGCAGCAAGGGTGATGTCACTGAGGTGTTGATCGACTGGATCCGCGCAGCTCGTCTCCAGCTCAGGCGGAGCTTCGGCTCGGACTTTCCTGTTCTGCGTCTGCACTCTGACAGAGGCGGAGAGTTCTCCTCTGGCCTTCTGCGAGCCTACTGTCGTGCACGAGGCATCCGCCAGACCTTCACGCTTCCGGACTCTCCACAGCAAAATGGGATTGCTGAGCGCCGCATTGGCATGGTCATGGACGTCGCCCGTACGTCCATGATGCATGCGGCTGCCCCCCATTTTCTGTGGCCGTTTGCGGTTCGGTACGCGGCGCATCAGATCAACCTTCAGCCCAGGGTCTCCATGCCGGAGACCTCCCCAGCCTTGCTGTGGACGGGGAAGGTCGGCGATGCGTCTGCGTTCCGTGTCTGGGGATCTCGGGCGTTTGTCCGCGACTTGTCTGCGGACAAGCTGTCCCCTCGTGCTGCTCCTTGCGTCTTCCTGGGTTTCCCCCCTGACGCCCCAGGGTGGCAGTTCTACCACCCCACCTCTTGCCGTGTTCTGTCCTCCCAGGACGTCACGTTCGACGAGTCGGTCCCCTACTACCGCCTCTTCCCCTACCGCACTCCGTCCCTTCCCCCGCCACCGCTCTTCCTTGTACCAGGTCCCCCCCCGGTAGACCCCCTCCCCCCTCAGGGTCCTGCCCCTTCAGGTGTGTCCCAGGTAGACGCTGTTGAGCCTGTCGAGGTCGCTGGTGACTCTGGTGCTGCTGAGGGTGCTGAGCCTGGGGGTGCTGACTCTGGGGGTGCTGAGCGTGTGGGTGCTGACTCTGGGGGTGCTGAGCGTGTGGGTACTACGACTGGGGGTGCTGAGCCTGGGGGTGCTGCGTCTGGGGGTGCTGAGCCTGGGGGTGCTACGCCTGGAGGTGCTGAGCCTGGGGGTGCTGCGTCTGGGGGTGCTGAGCCTGGGGGTACTACGCCTGGAGGTGCTGAGCCTGGGGGTGCTACGCTTGGTGGTGCTGTGCCTGGCGGTTCTCCGGGTGCTCCTTCTCGCCGGGAGCCACTCTCTCCCCAGGAGCTGCGTGAGTGGTTTGCCCGGCGCTGGAGGCGAGCTGCTGGAGCTGGAGGTACTGCGGGTACTGGAGGTTCTGTTGCTGCTGAGAGAGCTGGTGCCACGGGTCCCGGAGGTGCTCGTACTGGGAGTACTGGAGCTGCTGGACCTGCGGGTACTTCTGGAGCTGGAGTTGCTGCGGGTGTTGGCGCGGAGGCTACTGCTGTCGGTCCTGGAGGCGGTCCTGCTGGGGGTACTACTGGTGCTGCTGGGGGTTCTGGAGCTGGAGCTGCTACTGGTGCTGGTGCTGCCACTGAGGGTGCTGGTGCTGTCCCTCCTGTGTCTGGAGTCGCCGCGCGGCCTCGGCCGTACTTCGTTCCGCTCCTTCAGCAGGTTCTTGGTCTCCCGCCTTCTACTGGTCCTCCTCCTCCCTTAGAGTGTCCACAGCCTGTCCCGTCGCAGTTACAGTTACAGCCGGCCTCCCCACTGCCTGCTCCGTCTCCCTACACTGGTCCTACTGGAGGTCTTGCTGAGCGTCGTGAGCCTGCGTCTCGCCCTGCGTCGCCTGTCCGTGCTGCTCGCACTAGTGGTCGCGGTTCGCGTCAGCATCCTCCTCCTGTCCCTGGCACGCACCGGATGTCTCTGCGTCCGTCCACTGCTCCTCTGCGTGCCCCTTTGCCTTCTCCTCCTGAGTCTTCTCTTCCTGCTCTTGCCGACCCGGAGTCGGACTCTCTTCGTGCTGCCAGTCCTACTGTCACGCGTCTCCTTGCTACTATTGTCACTGACCCTTCCGTTGAGTCCACTGCTGCGTCTGCCCTAGTTGCTGAGCTCGTCGACTTTGCTGCTCGCTGTCGCCTAGACTACGTCGCCAGTCTTGTTGCTGAGTCTGAGTCTGTCTGTCCTCCGTCCGTCGGGGGTGAGTGTGCCCTTGGCACAGACGTCCTTGAGGACAGGCAGGAGGAGTTCCAGTGCTTGGCCGCTGCTTCACCTCATCTCGTGTCCGTACTGCTTACCCCTGAGGGAGACCCGGATGCACTTGACATCCCGACTCCGCGCTCTTACGCGGAGGCGATAGAGGGTCCCTACTCCTCTCAGTGGCAGGCAGCTATGGACGCAGAGATGGCTTCCTGGAAGTCCACAGGCACCTACGTTGACGCTGTTCCCCCTCCTGGGGCGAACATCGTCAGTGGCATGTGGATTTTCAGGGTGAAGCGACCGCCGGGTTCTCCGCCTGTCTTCAAGGCGCGTTACGTGGCTCGTGGCTTCAGTCAGCGGCAGGGAGTTGACTACTTTCAGACCTTCTCTCCCACCCCGAAGATGACCACTCTTCGGGTACTGCTGCACGTAGCTGCTCACCGTGACTACGAGCTACACTCTCTTGACTTCAGCACTGCTTTCTTGCAGGGCAGCCTGCACGAGGAGATCTGGCTGCGTCGCCCACCTGGCTTCACTGGGTCTTTTCCTCCTGGCACCCAGTGGAGCCTACGGCGGCCAGTCTACGGTCTCCGCCAGGCACCGCGTGAGTGGCACGACACACTGAGGACTACACTTGCGGCTCTTGGGTTTGCTCCCTGTACTGCCGACCCGTCGCTGTTTCTGCGCACCGACACTTCTTTGCCGCCGTTCTACATCCTCGTGTACGTCGACGACTTGGTCTTTGCCACAGCTGACACTGCTGGACTAGCCCACGTGAAGTCCGAGCTGCAGAAGAGACACACGTGCACTGACCTGGGTGAACTGCGCAGCTACCTTGGCTTGCAGATCACTCGGGACAGAGCACGCCGCACCATTACCCTGACTCAGTCACACATGGTGCAGCAGGTCCTTCAGCGCTTCGGCTTCACGTACTCCTCGCCTCAGGCCACTCCTCTGCCTACTCGCCACTCGCTCTCAGCTCTGCCTTCGGATGAGTCCGTAGAGTCGAGTGGCCCGTACCCAGAGCTTGTTGGCTGCCTCATGTACCTGATGACCTGCACACGACCTGACCTTGCATACCCTCTTAGCATTCTTGCACGCTATGTTGCTCCTGGGAGACACAGACCGGAGCACATGGCTGCAGCGAAGAGGGTGTTGCGCTACTTGTGCAGTACGTCGGGCATGGGGCTTGTGCTTGGAGGGCAGAGTCCAGTGGTCCTTACTGGGCACGCAGACGCTTCTTGGGCTGACGACCAGGCTACGCAGCGGTCGTCACAGGGTTACACCTTCAGCCTTGGTTCCGGCTCTGTTTCGTGGCGGGCTACCCGCTCGTCTTCTGTTCTCGGCTCCAGTTGTGAGGCTGAGATCTACGCAGGAGCCATGGCTGCACAGGAGCTTCGCTGCCGTTCTTCCTTTCCCCGTTCCATGTTTCTCTCTCCCATGTGCGTTCTTCCTTTCCCCGTTCCATGCTTCTCTCTCCCATGTGCGTTCTTCCTTTCCCCGTTCCATGTTTCTCTCTCCCATGTCCGTTCTTCCTTTCCCCGTTCCATGCTTCTCTCTCCCATGTGCGTTCTTCCTTTCCCCGTTCCATGCTTCTCTCTCCCATGTGCGTTCTTCCTTTCCCCGTTCCATGCTTCTCTCTCCCATGTGCGTTCTTCCTTTCCCCGTTCCATGCTTCTCTCTCCCATGTGCGTTCTTCCTTTCCCCGTTCCATGCTTCTCTCTCCCATGTGCGTTCTTCCTATCCCCGTTCCATGCTTCTCTCTCCCATGTGCGTTCTTCCTTTCCCCGTTCCATGCTTCTCTCTCCCATGTCCGTTCTTCCTTTCCCCGTTCCATGCTTCTCTCTCCCATGTGCGTTCTTCCTTTCCCCGTTCCATGCTTCTCTCTCCCATGTGCGTTCTTCCTTTCCCCGTTCCATGCTTCTCTCTCCCATGTGCGTTCTTCCTTTCCCCGTTTCATGCTTCTCTCTCGCATGTGCGTTCTTCCTTTCCCCGTTCCATGCTTCTCTCTCCCATGTGCGTTCTTCCTTTCCCCGTTCCATGCTTCTCTCTCCCATGTCCGTTCTTCCTTTCCCCGTTCCATGCTTCTCTCTCCCATGTGCGTTCTTCCTTTCCCCGTTCCATGCTTCTCTCTCCCATGTCCTTTCCCCGTTCCATGCTTCTCTCTCCCATGTGCGTTCTTCCTTTCCCCGTTCCATGCTTCTCTCTCCCATGTCCGTTCCATGCTTCTCTCTCCCATGTGCGTTCTTCCTTTCCCCGTTCCATGCTTCTCTCTCCCATGTCCGTTCCATGCTTCTCTCTCCCATGTGCGTTCTTCCTTTCCCCGTTCCATGCTTCTCTCTCCCATGTGCGTTCTTCCTTTCCCCGTTCCATGCTTCTCTCTCCCATGTCCGTTCTTCCTTTCCCCGCTCCATGCTTCTCTCTCCCATGTGCGTTCTTCCTTTCCCCGTTCCATGCTTCTCTCTCCCATGTGCGTTCTTCCTTTCCCCGTTCCATGCTTCTCTCTCCCATGTGCGTTCTTCCTTTCCCCGTTCCATGCTTCTCTCTCCCATGTGCGTTCTTCCTTTCCCCGTTCCATGCTTCTCTCTCCCATGTGCGTTCTTCCTTTCCCCGTTCCATGCTTCTCTCTCCCATGTGCGTTCTTCCTTTCCCCGTTCCATGCTTCTCTCTCCCATGTGCGTTCTTCCTTTCCCCGTTCCATGCTTCTCTCTCCCATGTCCATTCTTCCTTTCCCCGTTCCATGTTTCTCTCTCCCATGTGCGTTCTTCCTTTCCCCGTTCCATGCTTCTCTCTCCCATGTGCGTTCTTCCTTTCCCCGTTCCATGCTTCTCTCTCCCATGTGCGTTCTTCCTTTCCCCGTTCCATGTTTCTCTCTCCCATGTGCGTTCTTCCTTTCCCCGTTCCGTGCTTCTCTCTCCCATGTGCGTTCTTCCTTTCCCCGTTCCGTGCTTCTCTCTCCCATGTGCGTTCTTCCTTTCCCCGTTCTATGCTTCTCTCTCCCATGTCCGTTCTTCCTTTCCCCGTTCCGTGCTTCTCTCTCCCATGTCCGTTCTTCCTTTCCCCGTTCCGTGCTTCTCTCTCCCATGTCCGTTCTTCCTTTCCCCGTTCCATGCTTCTCTCTCCCATGTCCGTTCTTCCTTTCCCCGTTCCATGCTTCTCTCTCCCATGTGCGTTCTTCCTTTCCCCGTTCCATGCTTCTCTCTCCCATGTGCGTTCTTCCTTTCCCCGTTCCATGCTTCTCTCTCCCATGTGCGTTCTTCCTTTCCCCGTTCCATGCTTCTCTCTCCCATGTGCGTTCTTCCTTTCCCCGTTCCATGCTTCTCTCTCCCATGTGCGTTCTTCCTTTCCCCGTTCCATGCTTCTCTCTCCCATGTGCGTTCTTCCTTTCCCCGTTCCATGCTTCTCTCTCCCATGTGCGTTCTTCCTTTCCCCGTTCCATGCTTCTCTCTCCCATGTCCTTTCCCCGTTCCATGCTTCTCTCTCCCATGTGCGTTCTTCCTTTCCCCGTTCCATGCTTCTCTCTCCCATGTCCGTTCCATGCTTCTCTCTCCCATGTGCGTTCTTCCTTTCCCCGTTCCATGCTTCTCTCTCCCATGTCCGTTCCATGCTTCTCTCTCCCATGTGCGTTCTTCCTTTCCCCGTTCCATGCTTCTCTCTCCCATGTGCGTTCTTCCTTTCCCCGTTCCATGCTTCTCTCTCCCATGTCCGTTCTTCCTCTCCCCGTTCCATGCTTCTCTCTCCCATGTGCGTTCTTCCTTTCCCCGTTCCATGCTTCTCTCTCCCATGTGCGTTCTTCCTTTCCCCGTTCCATGCTTCTCTCTCCCATGTGCGTTCTTCCTTTCCCCGTTCCATGCTTCTCTCTCCCATGTGCGTTCTTCCTTTCCCCGTTCCATGCTTCTCTCTCCCATGTGCGTTCTTCCTTTCCCCGTTCCATGCTTCTCTCTCCCATGTGCGTTCTTCCTTTCCCCGTTCCATGCTTCTCTCTCCCATGTGCGTTCTTCCTTTCCCCGTTCCATGCTTCTCTCTCCCATGTCCGTTCTTCCTTTCCCCGTTCCATGTTTCTCTCTCCCATGTGCGTTCTTCCTTTCCCCGTTCCATGCTTCTCTCTCCCATGTGCGTTCTTCCTTTCCCCGTTCCATGCTTCTCTCTCCCATGTGCGTTCTTCCTTTCCCCGTTCCATGTTTCTCTCTCCCATGTCCGTTCTTCCTTTCCCCGTTCCATGCTTCTCTCTCCCATGTGCGTTCTTCCTTTCCCCGTTCCATGCTTCTCTCTCCCATGTGCGTTCTTCCTTTCCCCGTTCTATGCTTCTCTCTCCCATGTCCGTTCTTCCTTTCCCCGTTCCGTGCTTCTCTCTCCCATGTCCGTTCTTCCTTTCCCCGTTCCATGCTTCTCTCTCCCATGTCCGTTCTTCCTTTCCCCGTTCCATGCTTCTCTCTCCCATGTCCGTTCTTCCTTTCCCCGTTCCATGCTTCTCTCTCCCATGTGCGTTCTTCCTTTCCCCGTTCCATGCTTCTCTCTCCCATGTGCGTTCTTCCTTTCCCCGTTCCATGCTTCTCTCTCCCATGTGCGTTCTTCCTTTCCCCGTTCCATGCTTCTCTCTCCCATGTGCGTTCTTCCTTTCCCCGTTCCGTGCTTCTCTCTCCCATGTCCGTTCTTCCTTTCCCCGTTCCGTGCTTCTCTCTCCCATGTCCGTTCTTCCTTTCCCCGTTCCATGCTTCTCTCTCCCATGTCCGTTCTTCCTTTCCCCGTTCCATGCTTCTCTCTCCCATGTGCGTTCTTCCTTTCCCCGTTCCATGCTTCTCTCTCCCATGTGCGTTCTTCCTTTCCCCGTTCCATGCTTCTCTCTCCCATGTGCGTTCTTCCTTTCCCCGTTCCATGCTTCTCTCTCCCATGTGCGTTCTTCCTTTCCCCGTTCCATGCTTCTCTCTCCCATGTGCGTTCTTCCTTTCCCCGTTCCATGCTTCTCTCTCCCATGTCCTTTCCCCGTTCCATGCTTCTCTCTCCCATGTGCGTTCTTCCTTTCCCCGTTCCATGCTTCTCTCTCCCATGTCCGTTCCATGCTTCTCTCTCCCATGTGCGTTCTTCCTTTCCCCGTTCCATGCTTCTCTCTCCCATGTCCGTTCCATGCTTCTCTCTCCCATGTGCGTTCTTCCTTTCCCCGTTCCATGCTTCTCTCTCCCATGTCCGTTCCATGCTTCTCTTGTTGGTGCAACCCTACGGTTTGCACTCGGCTTGTTGTCCGTGTGCGTGAATGTGTGTGTGTATGGAATGGTATGAGGGCATGGGATAATATATATTTCATGCTTATAATTGTGTGTGAATGTTGAGTCATGATGTCGAGTGTGTGTGTCGAGTCAATAGCGAGTTATCGCTATACGCGTGTTACGCGGTCGTTTGTGTCTCGCGCGCGGTTTCTATTTTGTCGTGCGCGGTTTCTATTTTGTCCTGTGTCGAACGTTCGGCGTGTCGCAGGTGTGTGCAGCAGACCCATCAAGAACTCAAGGATGAGTTTGTGATGAAGAGCCCGAGCCTTGGTGTCAAGCCTCAAGTGATTTCGAAGCTTGCCAAAAGGGTACACCTCAAGATATTGAAGATAGTTACATTACTTTGTGTAGTGTAACATTTCACTTGGTGTAGGCCCTAGTGAAGGGTAGTTTCGAGACCCTTCGTGGTTGGGGACAGTGTGGCACTGTTCCACATCACTGTACCTCGGCTCTTGGGGTTTGTAGGAGCTGGGAGTCATTCCCAACTCGTAACTCTTCCTATCTTGTGTTCTAAGACTATAGTGGCTGCCATAGTACCGTTCGTTCAAACCGACGCTGTGTCGTCAATTCTTTATCAAATCGTGCAATCTAAATTGCTAATTGTAGACGACGTGAAGACGCTCCAGATCCAATTTGAATCAAGTCATTTGCAGCTGTGAGCAGAACGCTATCAACGTTTGAAGCCGCTGTGCAGAAATCCGTCTGTGCTCTCTATCTTTCGTTTTAGGCACATTCAAGCCTATTGTGACTATAACATCTCTCTCCCATGTGCGTTCTTCCTTTCCCCGTTCCATGCTTCTCTCTCCCATGTGCGTTCTTCCTTTCCCCGTTCCATGCTTCTCTCTCCCATGTCCGTTCTTCCTCTCCCCGTTCCATGCTTCTCTCTCCCATGTGCGTTCTTCCTTTCCCCGTTCCATGCTTCTCTCTCCCATGTGCGTTCTTCCTTTCCCCGTTCCATGCTTCTCTCTCCCATGTGCGTTCTTCCTTTCCCCGTTCCATGCTTCTCTCTCCCATGTGCGTTCTTCCTTTCCCCGTTCCATGCTTCTCTCTCCCATGTGCGTTCTTCCTTTCCCCGTTCCATGCTTCTCTCTCCCATGTGCGTTCTTCCTTTCCCCGTTCCATGCTTCTCTCTCCCATGTGCGTTCTTCCTTTCCCCGTTCCATGCTTCTCTCTCCCATGTCCGTTCTTCCTTTCCCCGTTCCATGTTTCTCTCTCCCATGTGCGTTCTTCCTTTCCCCGTTCCATGCTTCTCTCTCCCATGTGCGTTCTTCCTTTCCCCGTTCCATGCTTCTCTCTCCCATGTGCGTTCTTCCTTTCCCCGTTCCATGTTTCTCTCTCCCATGTCCGTTCTTCCTTTCCCCGTTCCATGCTTCTCTCTCCCATGTGCGTTCTTCCTTTCCCCGTTCCATGCTTCTCTCTCCCGTGTGCGTTCTTCCTTTCCCCGTTCTATGCTTCTCTCTCCCATGTCCGTTCTTCCTTTCCCCGTTCCGTGCTTCTCTCTCCCATGTCCGTTCTTCCTTTCCCCGTTCCATGCTTCTCTCTCCCATGTCCGTTCTTCCTTTCCCCGTTCCATGCTTCTCTCTCCCATGTCCGTTCTTCCTTTCCCCGTTCCATGCTTCTCTCTCCCATGTGCGTTCTTCCTTTCCCCGTTCCATGCTTCTCTCTCCCATGTGCGTTCTTCCTTTCCCCGTTCCATGCTTCTCTCTCCCATGTGCGTTCTTCCTTTCCCCGTTCCATGCTTCTCTCTCCCATGTGCGTTCTTCCTTTCCCCGTTCCATGCTTCTCTCTCCCATGTGCGTTCTTCCTTTCCCCGTTCCATGCTTCTCTCTCCCATGTGCGTTCTTCCTTTCCCCGTTCCATGCTTCTCTCTCCCATGTCCGTTCTTCCTTTCCCCGTTCCATGCTTCTCTCTCCCATGTGCGTTCTTCCTTTCCCCGTTCCATGCTTCTCTCTCCCATGTGCGTTCTTCCTTTCCCCGTTCCATGCTTCTCTCTCCCATGTGCGTTCTTCCTTTCCCCGTTCCATGCTTCTCTCTCCCATGTGCGTTCTTCCTTTCCCCGTTCCATGCTTCTCTCTCCCATGTGCGTTCTTCCTTTCCCCGTTCCATGCTTCTCTCTCCCATGTCCGTTCTTCCTTTCCCCGTTCCATGCTTCTCTCTCCCATGTGCGTTCTTCCTTTCCCCGTTCCATGCTTCTCTCTCCCATGTCCTTTCCCCGTTCCATGCTTCTCTCTCCCATGTGCGTTCTTCCTTTCCCCGTTCCATGCTTCTCTCTCCCATGTCCGTTCCATGCTTCTCTCTCCCATGTGCGTTCTTCCTTTCCCCGTTCCATGCTTCTCTCTCCCATGTCCGTTCCATGCTTCTCTCTCCCATGTGCGTTCTTCCTTTCCCCGTTCCATGCTTCTCTCTCCCATGTGCGTTCTTCCTTTCCCCGTTCCATGCTTCTCTCTCCCATGTCCGTTCTTCCTTTCCCCGTTCCATGCTTCTCTCTCCCATGTCCGTTCTTCCTTTCCCCGTTCCATGCTTCTCTCTCCCATGTCCGTTCTTCCTTTCCCCGTTCCATGCTTCTCTCTCCCATGTGCGTTCTTCCTTTCCCCGTTCCATGCTTCTCTCTCCCATGTGCGTTCTTCCTTTCCCCGTTCCATGCTTCTCTCTCCCATGTGCGTTCTTCCTTTCCCCGTTCCATGCTTCTCTCTCCCATGTGCGTTCTTCCTTTCCCCGTTCCATGCTTCTCTCTCCCATGTGCGTTCTTCCTTTCCCCGTTCCATGCTTCTCTCTCCCATGTGCGTTCTTCCTTTCCCCGTTCCATGCTTCTCTCTCCCATGTGCGTTCTTCCTTTCCCCGTTCCATGCTTCTCTCTCCCATGTGCGTTCTTCCTTTCCCCGTTCCATGCTTCTCTCTCCCATGTGCGTTCTTCCTTTCCCCGTTCCATGCTTCTCTCTCCCATGTGCGTTCTTCCTTTCCCCGTTCCATGCTTCTCTCTCCCATGTGCGTTCTTCCTTTCCCCGTTCCATGCTTCTCTCTCCCATGTGCGTTCTTCCTTTCCCCGTTCCATGCTTCTCTCTCCCATGTCCGTTCTTCCTTTCCCCGTTCCATTCTTCTCTCTCCCATGTGCGTTCTCCCTTACCCCGTTCTATGCTTCTCTCTCTCTCTCTCTCCCATGTGCGTTCTTCCTTTCCCCGTTCCATGCTTCTCTCTCCCATGTCCGTTCTTCCTGTCCCCGTTCCATGCTTCTCTCTCCCATGTCCGTTCTTCCTTTCCCCGTTCCATGCTTCTCTCTCCCATTTCCGTTCTCCTTACCCCGTTCCATGCTTCTCTCTCCCATGTGCGTTCTCCCTTACCCCGTTCTATGCTTCTCTCTCTCTCTCTCTCCCATGTGCGTTCTTCCTTTCCCCGTTCCATGCTTCTCTCTCCCATGTCCGTTCTTCCTTTCCCCGTTCCATGCTTCTCTCTCCCATGTCCGTTCTTCCTTTCCCCGTTCCATGCTTCTCTCTCCCATGTGCGTTCTTCCTTTCCCCGTTCCATGCTTCTCTCTCCCATGTGCGTTCTTCCTTTCCCCGTTCCATGCTTCTCTCTCCCATGTCCGTTCTTCCTTTCCCCGTTCCATGCTTCTCTCTCCCATGTGCGTTCTTCCTTTCCCCGTTCCATGCTTCTCTCTCCCATGTGCGTTCTTCCTTTCCCCGTTCCATGCTTCTCTCTCCCATGTGCGTTCTTCCTTTCCCCGTTCCATGCTTCTCTCTCCCATGTCCGTTCTTCCTTTCCCCGTTCCATGCTTCTCTCTCCCATGTGCGTTCTTCCTTTCCCCGTTCCATGCTTCTCTCTCCCATGTGCGTTCTTCCTTTCCCCGTTCCATGCTTCTCTCTCCCATGTGCGTTCTTCCTTTCCCCGTTCCATGCTTCTCTCTCCCATGTCCGTTCTTCCTTTCCCCGTTCCATGCTTCTCTCTCCCATGTCCGTTCTTCCTTTCCCCGTTCCATGCTTCTCTCTCCCATGTGCGTTCTTCCTTTCCCCGTTCCATGCTTCTCTCTCCCATGTCCGTTCTTCCTTTCCCCGTTCCATGCTTCTCTCTCCCATGTCCGTTCTTCCTTTCCCCGTTCCATGCTTCTCTCTCCCATGTCCGTTCTTCCTTTCCCCGTTCCATGCTTCTCTCTCCCATGTGCGTTCTTCCTTTCCCCGTTCCATGCTTCTCTCTCCCATGTGCGTTCTTCCTTTCCCCGTTCCATGCTTCTCTCTCCCATGTGCGTTCTTCCTTTCCCCGTTCCATGCTTCTCTCTCCCATGTGCGTTCTTCCTTTCCCCGTTCCATGCTTCTCTCTCCCATGTGCGTTCTTCCTTTCCCCGTTCCATGCTTCTCTCTCCCATGTGCGTTCTTCCTTTCCCCGTTCCATGCTTCTCTCTCCCATGTGCGTTCTTCCTTTCCCCGTTCCATGCTTCTCTCTCCCATGTGCGTTCTTCCTTTCCCCGTTCCATGCTTCTCTCTCCCATGTGCGTTCTTCCTTTCCCCGTTCCATGCTTCTCTCTCCCATGTGCGTTCTTCCTTTCCCCGTTCCATGCTTCTCTCTCCCATGTGCGTTCTTCCTTTCCCCGTTCCATGCTTCTCTCTCCCATGTGCGTTCTTCCTTTCCCCGTTCCATGCTTCTCTCTCCCATGTGCGTTCTTCCTTTCCCCGTTCCATGCTTCTCTCTCCCATGTGCGTTCTTCCTTTCCCCGTTCCATGCTTCTCTCTCCCATGTGCGTTCTTCCTTTCCCCGTTCCATGCTTCTCTCTCCCATGTGCGTTCTTCCTTTCCCCGTTCCATGCTTCTCTCTCCCATGTGCGTTCTTCCTTTCCCCGTTCCATGCTTCTCTCTCCCATGTGCGTTCTTCCTTTCCCCGTTCCATGCTTCTCTCTCCCATGTGCGTTCTTCCTTTCCCCGTTCCATGCTTCTCTCTCCCATGTGCGTTCTTCCTTTCCCCGTTCCATGCTTCTCTCTCCCATGTGCGTTCTTCCTTTCCCCGTTCCATGCTTCTCTCTCCCATGTGCGTTCTTCCTTTCCCCGTTCCGTGCTTCTCTCTCCCATGTGCGTTCTTCCTTTCCCCGTTCCGTTCTCTCTCCCATGTGCGTTCTTCCTTTCCCCGTTCCGTGCTTCTCTCTCCCATGTGCGTTCTTCCTTTCCCCGTTCCGTGCTTCTCTCTCCCATGTCCGTTCTTCCTTTCCCCGTTCCGTGCTTCTCTCTCCCATGTGCGTTCTTCCTTTCCCCGTTCCATGCTTCTCTCTCCCATGTGCGTTCTTCCTTTCCCCGTTCCATGCTTCTCTCTCCCATGTGCGTTCTTCCTTTCCCCGTTCCATGCTTCTCTCTCCCATGTGCGTTCTTCCTTTCCCCGTTCCATGCTTCTCTCTCCCATGTGCGTTCTTCCTTTCCCCGTTCCATGCTTCTCTCTCCCATGTGCGTTCTTCCTTTCCCCGTTCCATGCTTCTCTCTCCCATGTGCGTTCTTCCTTTCCCCGTTCCATGCTTCTCTCTCCCATGTGCGTTCTTCCTTTCCCCGTTCCATGCTTCTCTCTCCCATGTGCGTTCTTCCTTTCCCCGTTCCATGCTTCTCTCTCCCATGTGCGTTCTTCCTTTCCCCGTTCCATGCTTCTCTCTCCCATGTGCGTTCTTCCTTTCCCCGTTCCATGCTTCTCTCTCCCATGTGCGTTCTTCCTTTCCCCGTTCCATGCTTCTCTCTCCCATGTGCGTTCTTCCTTTCCCCGTTCCATGCTTCTCTCTCCCATGTGCGTTCTTCCTTTCCCCGTTCCATGCTTCTCTCTCCCATGTGCGTTCTTCCTTTCCCCGTTCCATGCTTCTCTCTCCCATGTGCGTTCTTCCTTTCCCCGTTCCATGCTTCTCTCTCCCATGTGCGTTCTTCCTTTCCCCGTTCCATGCTTCTCTCTCCCATGTGCGTTCTTCCTTTCCCCGTTCCATGCTTCTCTCTCCCATGTGCGTTCTTCCTTTCCCCGTTCCATGCTTCTCTCTCCCATGTGCGTTCTTCCTTTCCCCGTTCCATGCTTCTCTCTCCCATGTGCGTTCTTCCTTTCCCCGTTCCATGCTTCTCTCTCCCATGTGCGTTCTTCCTTTCCCCGTTCCATGCTTCTCTCTCCCATGTGCGTTCTTCCTTTCCCCGTTCCATGCTTCTCTCTCCCATGTGCGTTCTTCCTTTCCCCGTTCCATGCTTCTCTCTCCCATGTGCGTTCTTCCTTTCCCCGTTCCATGCTTCTCTCTCCCATGTGCGTTCTTCCTTTCCCCGTTCCATGCTTCTCTCTCCCATGTGCGTTCTTCCTTTCCCCGTTCCATGCTTCTCTCTCCCATGTGCGTTCTTCCTTTCCCCGTTCCATGCTTCTCTCTCCCATGTGCGTTCTTCCTTTCCCCGTTCCATGCTTCTCTCTCCCATGTGCGTTCTTCCTTTCCCCGTTCCATGCTTCTCTCTCCCATGTGCGTTCTTCCTTTCCCCGTTCCATGCTTCTCTCTCCCATGTGCGTTCTTCCTTTCCCCGTTCCATGCTTCTCTCTCCCATGTGCGTTCTTCCTTTCCCCGTTCCATGCTTCTCTCTCCCATGTGCGTTCTTCCTTTCCCCGTTCCATGCTTCTCTCTCCCATGTGCGTTCTTCCTTTCCCCGTTCCATGCTTCTCTCTCCCATGTGCGTTCTTCCTTTCCCCGTTCCATGCTTCTCTCTCCCATGTGCGTTCTTCCTTTCCCCGTTCCATGCTTCTCTCTCCCATGTGCGTTCTTCCTTTCCCCGTTCCATGCTTCTCTCTCCCATGTGCGTTCTTCCTTTCCCCGTTCCATGCTTCTCTCTCCCATGTCCGTTCTTCCTTTCCCCGTTCCATGCTTCTCTCTCCCATGTGCGTTCTTCCTTTCCCCGTTCCATGCTTCTCTCTCCCATGTGCGTTCTTCCTTTCCCCGTTCCATGCTTCTCTCTCCCATGTCCGTTCTTCCTTTCCCCGTTCCATGCTTCTCTCTCCCATGTCCGTTCTTCCTTTCTCCGTTCCATGCTTCTCTCTCCCATGTCCGTTCTTCCTTTCCCCGTTCCATGCTTCTCTCTCCCATGTCCGTTCTTCCTTTCCCCGTTCCATGCTTCTCTCTCCCATGTGCGTTCTTCCTTTCCCCGTTCCATGCTTCTCTCTCCCATGTGCGTTCTTCCTTTCCCCGTTCCATGCTTCTCTCTCCCATGTCCGTTCTTCCTTTCCCCGTTCCATGCTTCTCTCTCCCATGTGCGTTCTTCCTTTCCCCGTTCCATGCTTCTCTCTCCCATGTGCGTTCTTCCTTTCCCCGTTCCATGCTTCTCTCTCCCATGTCCGTTCTTCCTTTCTCCGTTCCATGCTTCTCTCTCCCATGTCCGTTCTTCCTTTCCCCGTTCCATGCTTCTCTCTCCCATGTCCGTTCTTCCTTTCCCCGTTCCATGCTTCTCTCTCCCATGTCCGTTCTTCCTTTCCCCGTTCCATGCTTCTCTCTCCCATGTCCGTTCTTCCTTTCCCCGTTCCATGCTTCTCTCTCCCATGTCCGTTCTTCCTTTCCCCGTTCCATGCTTCTCTCTCCCATGTCCGTTCTTCCTTTCCCCGTTCCATGCTTCTCTCTCCCATGTCCGTTCTTCCTTTCCCCGTTCCATGCTTCTCTCTCCCATGTCCGTTCTTCCTTTCCCCGTTCCATGCTTCTCTCTCCCATGTCCGTTCTTCCTTTCCCCGTTCCATGCTTCTCTCTCCCATGTCCGTTCTTCCTTTCCCCGTTCCATGCTTCTCTCTCCCATGTCCGTTCTTCCTTTCCCCGTTCCATGCTTCTCTCTCCCATGTCCGTTCTTCCTTTCCCCGTTCCATGCTTCTCTCTCCCATGTCCGTTCTTCCTTTCCCCGTTCCATGCTTCTCTCTCCCATGTCCGTTCTTCCTTTCCCCGTTCCATGCTTCTCTCTCCCATGTCCGTTCTTCCTTTCCCCGTTCCATGCTTCTCTCTCCCATGTCCGTTCTTCCTTTCCCCGTTCCATGCTTCTCTCTCCCATGTCCGTTCTTCCTTTCCCCGTTCCATGCTTCTCTCTCCCATGTGCGTTCTTCCTTTCCCCGTTCCATGCTTCTCTCTCCCATGTGCGTTCTTCCTTTCCCCGTTCCATGCTTCTCTCTCCCATGTGCGTTCTTCCTTTCCCCGTTCCATGCTTCTCTCTCCCATGTCCGTTCTTCCTTTCCCCGTTCCATGCTTCTCTCTCCCATGTCCGTTCTTCCTTTCCCCGTTCCATGCTTCTCTCTCCCATGTGCGTTCTTCCTTTCCCCGTTCCATGCTTCTCTCTCCCATGTCCGTTCTTCCTTTCCCCGTTCCATGCTTCTCTCTCCCATGTCCGTTCTTCCTTTCCCCGTTCCATGCTTCTCTCTCCCATGTCCGTTCTTCCTTTCCCCGTTCCATGCTTCTCTCTCCCATGTCCGTTCTTCCTTTCCCCGTTCCATGCTTCTCTCTCCCATGTGCGTTCTTCCTTTCCCCGTTCCATGCTTCTCTCTCCCATGTCCGTTCTTCCTTTCCCCGTTCCATGCTTCTCTCTCCCATGTGCGTTCTTCCTTTCCCCGTTCCATGCTTCTCTCTCCCATGTGCGTTCTTCCTTTCCCCGTTCCATGCTTCTCTCTCCCATGTGCGTTCTTCCTTTCCCCGTTCCATGCTTCTCTCTCCCATGTGCGTTCTTCCTTTCCCCGTTCCATGCTTCTCTCTCCCATGTGCGTTCTTCCTTTCCCCGTTCCATGCTTCTCTCTCCCATGTCCGTTCTTCCTTTCCCCGTTCCATGCTTCTCTCTCCCATGTCCGTTCTTCCTTTCCCCGTTCCATGCTTCTCTCTCCCATGTGCGTTCTTCCTTTCCCCGTTCCATGCTTCTCTCTCCCATGTCCGTTCTTCCTTTCCCCGTTCCATGCTTCTCTCTCCCATGTCCGTTCTTCCTTTCCCCGTTCCATGCTTCTCTCTCCCATGTCCGTTCTTCCTTTCCCCGTTCCATGCTTCTCTCTCCCATGTGCGTTCTTCCTTTCCCCGTTCCATGCTTCTCTCTCCCATGTCCGTTCTTCCTTTCCCCGTTCCATGCTTCTCTCTCCCATGTGCGTTCTTCCTTTCCCCGTTCCATGCTTCTCTCTCCCATGTGCGTTCTTCCTTTCCCCGTTCCATGCTTCTCTCTCCCATGTGCGTTCTTCCTTTCCCCGTTCCATGCTTCTCTCTCCCATGTCCGTTCTTCCTTTCCCCGTTCCATGCTTCTCTCTCCCATGTCCGTTCTTCCTTTCCCCGTTCCATGCTTCTCTCTCCCATGTCCGTTCTTCCTTTCCCCGTTCCATGCTTCTCTCTCCCATGTCCGTTCTTCCTTTCCCCGTTCCATGCTTCTCTCTCCCATGTCCGTTCTTCCTTTCCCCGTTCCATGCTTCTCTCTCCCATGTCCGTTCTTCCTTTCCCCGTTCCATGCTTCTCTCTCCCATGTCCGTTCTTCCTTTCCCCGTTCCATGCTTCTCTCTCCCATGTCCGTTCTTCCTTTCCCCGTTCCATGCTTCTCTCTCCCATGTCCGTTCTTCCTTTCCCCGTTCCATGCTTCTCTCTCCCATGTCCGTTCTTCCTTTCCCCGTTCCATGCTTCTCTCTCCCATGTCCGTTCTTCCTTTCCCCGTTCCATGCTTCTCTCTCCCATGTCCGTTCTTCCTTTCCCCGTTCCATGCTTCTCTCTCCCATGTCCGTTCTTCCTTTCCCCGTTCCATGCTTCTCTCTCCCATGTCCGTTCTTCCTTTCCCCGTTCCATGCTTCTCTCTCCCATGTCCGTTCTTCCTTTCCCCGTTCCATGCTTCTCTCTCCCATGTGCGTTCTTCCTTTCCCCGTTCCATGCTTCTCTCTCCCATGTGCGTTCTTCCTTTCCCCGTTCCATGCTTCTCTCTCCCATGTCCGTTCTTCCTTTCCCCGTTCCATGCTTCTCTCTCCCATGTCCGTTCTTCCTTTCCCCGTTCCATGCTTCTCTCTCCCATGTCCGTTCTTCCTTTCCCCGTTCCATGCTTCTCTCTCCCATGTCCGTTCTTCCTTTCCCCGTTCCATGCTTCTCTCTCCCATGTCCGTTCTTCCTTTCCCCGTTCCATGCTTCTCTCTCCCATGTCCGTTCTTCCTTTCCCCGTTCCATGCTTCTCTCTCCCATGTCCGTTCTTCCTTTCCCCGTTCCATGCTTCTCTCTCCCATGTCCGTTCTTCCTTTCCCCGTTCCATGCTTCTCTCTCCCATGTCCGTTCTTCCTTTCCCCGTTCCATGCTTCTCTCTCCCATGTCCGTTCTTCCTTTCCCCGTTCCATGCTTCTCTCTCCCATGTCCGTTCTTCCTTTCCCCGTTCCATGCTTCTCTCTCCCATGTCCGTTCTTCCTTTCCCCGTTCCATGCTTCTCTCTCCCATGTCCGTTCTTCCTTTCCCCGTTCCATGCTTCTCTCTCCCATGTCCGTTCTTCCTTTCCCCGTTCCATGCTTCTCTCTCCCATGTCCGTTCTTCCTTTCCCCGTTCCATGCTTCTCTCTCCCATGTCCGTTCTTCCTTTCCCCGTTCCATGCTTCTCTCTCCCATGTGCGTTCTTCCTTTCCCCGTTCCATGCTTCTCTCTCCCATGTGCGTTCTTCCTTTCCCCGTTCCATGCTTCTCTCTCCCATGTCCGTTCTTCCTTTCCCCGTTCCATGCTTCTCTCTCCCATGTCCGTTCTTCCTTTCCCCGTTCCATGCTTCTCTCTCCCATGTCCGTTCTTCCTTTCCCCGTTCCATGCTTCTCTCTCCCATGTCCGTTCTTCCTTTCCCCGTTCCATGCTTCTCTCTCCCATGTCCGTTCTTCCTTTCCCCGTTCCATGCTTCTCTCTCCCATGTCCGTTCTTCCTTTCCCCGTTCCATGCTTCTCTCTCCCATGTCCGTTCTTCCTTTCCCCGTTCCATGCTTCTCTCTCCCATGTCCGTTCTTCCTTTCCCCGTTCCATGCTTCTCTCTCCCATGTCCGTTCTTCCTTTCCCCGTTCCATGCTTCTCTCTCCCATGTCCGTTCTTCCTTTCCCCGTTCCATGCTTCTCTCTCCCATGTCCGTTCTTCCTTTCCCCGTTCCATGCTTCTCTCTCCCATGTCCGTTCTTCCTTTCCCCGTTCCATGCTTCTCTCTCCCATGTCCGTTCTTCCTTTCCCCGTTCCATGCTTCTCTCTCCCATGTCCGTTCTTCCTTTCCCCGTTCCATGCTTCTCTCTCCCATGTCCGTTCTTCCTTTCCCCGTTCCATGCTTCTCTCTCCCATGTCCGTTCTTCCTTTCCCCGTTCCATGCTTCTCTCTCCCATGTCCGTTCTTCCTTTCCCCGTTCCATGCTTCTCTCTCCCATGTGCGTTCTTCCTTTCCCCGTTCCATGCTTCTCTCTCCCATGTGCGTTCTTCCTTTCCCCGTTCCATGCTTCTCTCTCCCATGTCCGTTCTTCCTTTCCCCGTTCCATGCTTCTCTCTCCCATGTCCGTTCTTCCTTTCCCCGTTCCATGCTTCTCTCTCCCATGTCCGTTCTTCCTTTCCCCGTTCCATGCTTCTCTCTCCCATGTCCGTTCTTCCTTTCCCCGTTCCATGCTTCTCTCTCCCATGTGCGTTCTTCCTTTCCCCGTTCCATGCTTCTCTCTCCCATGTCCGTTCTTCCTTTCCCCGTTCCATGCTTCTCTCTCCCATGTCCGTTCTTCCTTTCCCCGTTCCATGCTTCTCTCTCCCATGTCCGTTCTTCCTTTCCCCGTTCCATGCTTCTCTCTCCCATGTCCGTTCTTCCTTTCCCCGTTCCATGCTTCTCTCTCCCATGTCCGTTCTTCCTTTCCCCGTTCCATGCTTCTCTCTCCCATGTCCGTTCTTCCTTTCCCCGTTCCATGCTTCTCTCTCCCATGTCCGTTCTTCCTTTCCCCGTTCCATGCTTCTCTCTCCCATGTCCGTTCTTCCTTTCCCCGTTCCATGCTTCTCTCTCCCATGTCCGTTCTTCCTTTCCCCGTTCCATGCTTCTCTCTCCCATGTCCGTTCTTCCTTTCCCCGTTCCATGCTTCTCTCTCCCATGTCCGTTCTTCCTTTCCCCGTTCCATGCTTCTCTCTCCCATGTCCGTTCTTCCTTTCCCCGTTCCATGCTTCTCTCTCCCATGTCCGTTCTTCCTTTCCCCGTTCCATGCTTCTCTCTCCCATGTCCGTTCTTCCTTTCCCCGTTCCATGCTTCTCTCTCCCATGTCCGTTCTTCCTTTCCCCGTTCCATGCTTCTCTCTCCCATGTCCGTTCTTCCTTTCCCCGTTCCATGCTTCTCTCTCCCATGTCCGTTCTTCCTTTCCCCGTTCCATGCTTCTCTCTCCCATGTCCGTTCTTCCTTTCCCCGTTCCATGCTTCTCTCTCCCATGTCCGTTCTTCCTTTCCCCGTTCCATGCTTCTCTCTCCCATGTCCGTTCTTCCTTTCCCCGTTCCATGCTTCTCTCTCCCATGTCCGTTCTTCCTTTCCCCGTTCCATGCTTCTCTCTCCCATGTCCGTTCTTCCTTTCCCCGTTCCATGCTTCTCTCTCCCATGTCCGTTCTTCCTTTCCCCGTTCCATGCTTCTCTCTCCCATGTCCGTTCTTCCTTTCCCCGTTCCATGCTTCTCTCTCCCATGTCCGTTCTTCCTTTCCCCGTTCCATGCTTCTCTCTCCCATGTCCGTTCTTCCTTTCCCCGTTCCATGCTTCTCTCTCCCATGTCCGTTCTTCCTTTCCCCGTTCCATGCTTCTCTCTCCCATGTCCGTTCTTCCTTTCCCCGTTCCATGCTTCTCTCTCCCATGTCCGTTCTTCCTTTCCCCGTTCCATGCTTCTCTCTCCCATGTCCGTTCTTCCTTTCCCCGTTCCATGCTTCTCTCTCCCATGTCCGTTCTTCCTTTCCCCGTTCCATGCTTCTCTCTCCCATGTCCGTTCTTCCTTTCCCCGTTCCATGCTTCTCTCTCCCATGTCTGTTCTTCCTTTCCCCGTTCCATGCTTCTCTCTCCCATGTCCGTTCTTCCTTTCCCCGTTCCATGCTTCTCTCTCCCATGTCCGTTCTTCCTTTCCCCGTTCCATGCTTCTCTCTCCCATGTCCGTTCTTCCTTTCCCCGTTCCATGCTTCTCTCTCCCATGTGCGTTCTTCCTTTCCCCGTTCCATGCTTCTCTCTCCCATGTGCGTTCTTCCTTTCCCCGTTCCATGCTTCTCTCTCCCATGTGCTTACTGCCTCGCATGTCCGTTCTCCTTACCCCTTTCCATGCCTTTATCTCCCATGTGCATCATCCCTACCACCCATGTTTCTGCCTCCCACATGCGTCACCTCAACCCCTACCCACCAGTTTCTTCCTCCCATGTGCCTCACCCCTACCCCCCATGCTTCTCTCTCCCATGTGCGTCACCCGTATCCCCCAATGTGCATGCCCCCTTGCCATCTCGAACGAGCGTTTTCTCTTCGTCACTCTCTCCTCCTGCCCCCATTCACGTCACCCCACCTCACTCTCATGCCAGCACCCATAACATTATTGCTCATTTCGGCACCCAATTCTTTTGCAATTTCCGGTTTTGGCACCACAGTACTGACCACTGTAGCTTTTAACGATCAGCATATATTGCCTTGATTCCATTAGGGGCATTCTTCTCATTCTTTGATTGCAGAGGACCACCTAGTAGGAGGCTCCTACCCTATGCACGCAGAGCCATATGCATGCTTTGTTGTTTTCACTTGCGCTCTCTATCTCAGATAATTTGTTGATTTCAAAGACTCTGTCCCCCACTCCATAATCTCCCGACCGTGTGCACTTTTTACAACCCCCCACTCTGTGGTACCCGCAGGGCTTGAATTGGGGTGACTTCATCGCATTTGTCCATTGGCCGCTTGCTGTTGCCAGCTCTAAAGGTGTGTTCACACCCCAAAACAGTCACTCGGGCTCACAAAACAGCCGCTCGGGCTCACCAGTTCCTGCGAAATTGCGCTCTAATTCATCCCTCTCAAATCTATCCCTGCTTCCCTTTCCTTCATTTCTCTTCCCTCTCATGCAGCCATCTACCAGCTCACTTCTGGAATCCCCAAGGGCACCATCACCCACCGCATTGTGGCGCTTCTTCACTCCCTCTATTGCATCCTCGTCACCACCTGCATGGCCAGCCCCTTCGCCGTAAGTGTGCATGTTTTACTTTTTTTTTTTTTTTTCATGGACTCTTCAGTAAATCTTGCTGCTGGGGCCGTAAATTCCTCTATGCCTCTATGTTGGCCCACTCCTTTATGCGCATTGCCTCTCTCGTTTAACTGTGTTTACTGTGGTTGTTCTTGGTGCAGGTGATAACACTATCGGGTGCATACTCAGCGTATAATGGCATGTAATATAGTGGTACTGTCATCCCGATTCTCCTAATTATACTGTCAATGGTGTACAAGCCTTGCCGCCCTAAGACTGTCAAGACAGAGTAGCACATGGAAGCTCGATTGGCATGAAATGAGAACTTCAATACTAATGAGCTTTAATATTATTGAGAAACAACACATGGCCCGGCACAAATTTGTTCCAGTCATAAGCCACATTAAAGCCGGAAGCCCAAATTGCATAAGTTTTAAAAGGATGACGCAAGGGGTTTTTTCTGGTATGGGTTTTGGCGAGTGATTCCGATTTCGGGCATTTCGTTTTTTTCGCCAAACCCAGCCTGCCCACGTATTTCGCCCTGGGGGTTGTGTCAGCACCCGAAAGTCCCAAATTGCAGGTGCGCTGCTTTTCAAAGCTTGCACACTGCACTTCCTCAAGTTTTAAAAGCATGACCCACGCGCCTCGCAATTTGGGACTCGGGCTTCAAGATCGTTCCGTGCAGCGCGTGGGTTCAAAATCTGTCACGAGGCTTCGTGGCGGGCGTCAGAAAACGACTCAAGCCCCGCACTGGTTCTGGGGCTCGACTGGTGGAGCAAAGGTCGTCTGTAACACGCTTCGAGGCGCAATATTACGCACCATTTCGAACAAGTGTCACGCCTATTTCTGGAGCAAAAGGAACCCCTACATTGAACCATTGTGCAATTTAATCGAATGTCGTGGCAAGGTTCTCTGCGAAAGTTTTCACCTGTACATCCCCGTTCGCCATTTTTTGGGACCCTAATTTAAATGTATGTTTACAAACGGGCCATGTGTACTGTCCACTCCACAAGTGGAACGCCAACAACGCGGATGCTGAATCTCGGGCAAAGGTTCAGGGTTTGATATGAACAGACACCCAAGCAACCAACTTTACTCACCCCCTTGACCTATCCTGCCTTTGACATCGGTCTCTACCATATCTGTGAGCTCCTGTGCGTTTTTTACGCTCCCAAACTTTATCCGACGCACCGCTGAAAAATGGCGTGTCTCACGCGTCCGCTTCCTTCGTTATGCCGGCCGCTGCCGCGCCTTTGAGCCAACCATCGAGCAGCGTCTCGTTGCCAGTCGCCTTACCCTGCCGCGCACTGTCTTCCCTCAGCTCCACCTCCCCAACTCTAACCTCACTCTCCCGCCAATGCGCGCGCCAGACGTCCCGTCCCACGCGATCTGCTTGCGCCGCGGCAGCCACTCCCGTCCGTGCGATGGCGGACGGCGCCGGATCTGAGCCGTCCGGGAGCATCATCAGCGGCAAGTGCTTCGTGCTGGAGGACAACATCGACACGGATCAGATCATCCCCGCCGAGTACCTAACCCTCGTGCCGTCCAACCCCGACGAGTACGAGAAGCTCGGGAGCTACGCGATGGCGGGGCTGCCCAAGAAGCACACGCTGCGGTACGTGCAGAAGGGGCAGATGAAGACAAAATACGCCATCATCATCGGCGGGGCTAACTTCGGCTGCGGGTCGTCGCGCGAGCACGCGCCCGTTGCGCTCGGCGCGGCGGGCTGCCGCGCGGTGGTGGCGGAGTCGTACGCGCGGATCTTCTTCCGCAACTGCGTCGCGACGGGGGAGCTCTAGCCGGTTGAAGCGGCGGAGGGGCTTGTCGGGAGGCTGTGCGAGGTGATTAAGTCGGGGGACGAGGTGACTGTAGATCTGGAGCACGATCTGCTGATCCACCACACCACAGGCAAGCAGTACGCTCTGAAGCCCATTGGGGAAGCCGGGCCCGTGATTGACGCTGGGGGTATTTTCAACTTTGCCCGCCAATCTGGCATGATTGCTCAGAAGGCTTGATTTGTCTGTCAGCATTCATGCCAGGATAGGAGGGGTATTACAAGTATTATATAAAGGAAGTATCGTACAAGTCTGTTTGGAGCTGAAGTTGGTGCCCAAGCCACATTGTTATAAGCCTGGTGATTTGTCTGCATTTGCTTATTTCTTTCCAGCCAACAGCAGTTTGCTATTTCAAGCTGTATATTGCCTGGACTCACTCTTCAAACAATTCTTGCAAAGCGCTGTCACCACACATTCTATAAAGCGAACAGCACAGTTTTGTCCAGGCCCTATTTTATCAGGGTAAATCACCCTGATACCCTGATTATCAGGGTGGTTTTTGGGTGTAACACTGATGCCGTAGGGTAATTTTTTTGGGACCTTGATTTTCCCTGATGTGCCAGGGTTTACGAATAAGGCACACTGTCGCCTCAGTGTTGCCGATCCTCTTAGCGAGTTTTACCCTGAAGCGAGTACCAGCCACCCCCCGCCACCCCCCTTCCCCCCCTCCCCCCCCCCCCCCCCCCCCCCCCCCCCCTTCCCCTAACCCCCCTACCCCGTAACCCGGGATTCCCTATTGCCAGCTGTCGAAACTGTAAATTTGTTATTGTGTGCTCTGTTAATGACAATTTCAGCAGGGTTCGAGAACATTGTACACTGATGCCTCAGGGTTGAATATTCAAACTAAGCAGAAACCCTGATGAATCAGTTTTCCCACAAGGGGTCACACTGATAATCAGGGTTTTGAACATGTGCAACACTGATCGTAAGGGTTGGCAAAAACAAAAAATTAGCCCTGGTTTTGTCTCCTCATCCATGAGTCAAACACAAGCTTCAACCTACAGCTGCACTTAGCTGTCCCTAGCAATTGCGGTGATGTCTCCTCCTATGGTACCTATGCAACTGTTCCGGACTCTTCACTCTCCAAGACTCGCCTGTGCAGCTGTTCTTGCAGTATATTTAACCATGCTATGTTCTTGCCCTCCATCTAAAGCAGGCTTTTTTGTTGGACCATCTGAACTTTGCATTTACTCAAGGAACTCAGCCCTGCACCTGTTGCGCCCTTTAACCTGCATCGTTCTCATTACAACTGGCTTATTACAACATTTGCATCGAGATTGAACACAAGCTAGTGCATGCTAATATCACTAGCTAAGATGTACCCTATCCAAGTGGCATTAGCAAGGCGTTCTACGCTGGGGTGGGTGGTGGGGATGTTGAGTGAGCCGTTTGAAATAGAGAAACGTGGGTGGAGGGAAATGAGCTCCAACCCACGGTTTTTGTAGTTGGAGAAGGGCGTTTAGCGCGCTTCGACGATGCCAATTGTGCAGTACAAGCAGCTTCGCTTTCACAATACACAATTTTAAAAAACACAATGTGTGTTTAAAAATTATAATATTGAGAAAGCTTGCTTTCTTATTTTTATCAATTGGCATCGTTCTCATTACAACAGGGGTCTCTGAGACATGGGCAGCGGGGGCCTCCTATGGCGTACGAGCGCCTCTGTGTGTTGCGCCGAAGACACCGCCTGCGTCGGATCTTGCAGGTTGCGGGATGCTGTGATGAGAGGCTCGACGTATGGCGTGACGTACATTTCCTTAGCTGTGTCGCTTCGCCATCTGCCCAGCCGTTTGAAGACTCTGTCTGGCACTCCAGTGTTGGCTGCTACTGTGGCCGCGCCTTTTCGGAAAGAGTGAGTGCCGAGCTGCAGCTCTCCCAGACCAACTTTTGCGAAAGCTTCCTTACACCAGTTCCGAATTGTAGTGTATGAAGGCGGCTTCGCTTGGCCTTTGCTGCTTGAAGCGTGCCCGAAGACACGAATCAACGGTCCCTCTGACTGAGGACCATAGCCGGCGAGTTGGATGAAGCGTCGGGTGCAGCGCACTAGGCAACAAGGGTCTGTCGTTGCTGCAATGGGTATCCATGTTCCGTGACCGGCCTGATCGGTCTTAGAGTGTGGTATGAGGATCCACATGACCTCTTCGTCGAATTGGATGTCTTGCCATTGTATGGCCACTAGGTCGGAGTATCGCAGAAATCCTGAGTACATGAGGATGGGGATCAGCCCTTTCTGAAATTCCGCAGGGTCGTCAGACTGCAGGTAACTCCCGGCCATGTCGCGGACTTGTTGGATCGATACGGGTTCCTTCAGACGAGTAGGGCGGGGGCAGTGTCGTTTTGCACAGTCGCGGACTTGGGTGGTAAACGGACCGATTGTTGGGCATTTGTTCCCAGTCATGCGATGGGCGAAGCTTACTGCCGAGCACGTCAGCTGCACTACGGACAGGGTGGCTTTGCGTCGGATTGCGTGAACCAGGTATAGTGCGAGTGTCATGTCGGAAGCTGGAAGAAAGGAGAGATCCACTTTTGTGCAAAATGCTCGAAACTTGGCCCAGTATGGTTCGTATGTCCGGATCGTAGAATCGGCGCGTGACTGCGCGAGCATTTTGATCAGTTGGTCGTGTAACTTTGGGAGCAAATCTGAACACAGGAGTGGACAATATGCATTAGTCAAATACCACTCGCAGTGCAATGATTGGGCTATGCGGTAGTCCCGTGCCCGAGAAGGCAGTAGAATGGGACCCTGTATCTAGGCATTGGCTTCCGTGTGTGAGAGGGATGTGCGCGTGGATGTGTGGAGCCCAAGTACATAGGGAGGGTTGCAAAAGTGGCCACCAACTTGCGCCTGGCCAGTGCGGGACTATTAATGTGAGTGATGCATGAGTGCGTTGTGCATGGTGGAGGACGGCTGGGACCAGTTGGGGTAGGGGGAAGGCGAAGTTGTTTTTGGCTGTCCATGCGATCGAGAACGCATCAACTGCGATGGCTTCCGGGTGGGGGATCTTGGTGCAAAAGCGCGAGAGTTGGGTGTTGTGAGAGTTTGCAAAGAGGTCGATGGAATGCGGACCCCAACGACGTTCTAAGATGCGAAACCACGGCTTCTTCAACGCGTAGTCGTCGTGGTCGACCATTTTTTAAAGCTCGTCAGCATGTGAGTTGAGCTCTCGCGAGATCCATTCAATGATCAAGCGCGTGCCGAGCCCCATGCATGTTCGGATGATGCTTTTGCAAGCCATTGTGAGGTCAGAGCTGTGAGAGCCGCCTTTGCGAAGGATGAAGAATACGCCCTGGTTGTCCACCCGCATGAGAACGTGTTTTTGCTTGATCTTGTTGGCGTACGTTTGGAGCGCCCAAAGGACGCCTTCGATCTCCCGCCGCGTGCTGGACGTTGCCTGTAGTGGCTCTGACATGGTTGCGCTCGCTTCTTCGAGGCCACCCGGAAATGTAGTTAGAGTGGCGCCCCAACCATGAGAGCTGGCATCCACATGAATTACCGCATCGTAGCTGTTCCGGACGTGGAAAGGTGCACCGTTGAACCGGTCGAACTCTTCAAGCCAAAAGTGTAGCTCCTCTGCTGCGGCTGGGGGGATGACCATGTTGCTTTTCCATGACGGTGCGTCGTTGATTACTTGTAACATGGCGTGGCTGAATGCGCGAGCGGTCGCGCCAAATGCGACCCCCATTGATGCGAGCATGCCTGTGATTCTGGCCACGTGGCGGACCGGGACTGGTCGGCATGCCTTGCTTGCGCTCAGGAGGTTTTGGATGGTTGCATGTAGTGAGGCTCGTCGGTCGGGACCGATGGAGAATCGATCGGTATCGGTTTCCAGCTCTACACCCAAAAATCGTAGGCGTTGCGATGGTGACAGCTGTGATTTCTTCGCGTTTATCACGAGTCCTGCCTCTTTAAGGTCCAATATCACACGCTGGCAGATCGCTTGCGCATGGTCTTTCGACTGACAGAGGAATAAGATGTTGTCCACGTAAGGGATGACTCGGATGCCTTGTTCTCGCCAGCGCCGAGCCAGTTGCTTGATGAGCTGCGTGAAGACGAATGGAGCTGTCGCGAGGCCAAATGGCAGTGAACGAAATGCGTACGTGCGCCTCCCAAATTCGAAGCCGAGGAACTTCCAACATGATGGGTGGATGTCGATGTGGTGGTAACCGGATTTAAGGTCAATGGAGAACGTCCAATCCCCAACGCGTGCCAGGTCCGCCACGCGGTTGAGCCCCTCGTACTTGAACTTGGGGACGATTAAGCTTGCGTTGACTTTCCGCAGATCAAGAATGAGTCTGCATTTGTCTTTTTGCTCGACCACATTGAGTGGACTTATACACGTCAGCTCCGTTGCGGGCATCTGGACTGCTGCTCCGGTCTCTAGGAGTTCTTGGATAGCGGTACGCGTGAACGTAGCATGCGTGTTTGCCCCGACATGGTTGCGATCGTGGAAGGGTTGTGGTGGGCCGTGGCTCCATGGTAGCCAATAACCCCTGGCGATGACGGAAAGGACGAGGCTGCAGGGACACCAGGAGCTCCACCACGCAAAGGTCGCACGAAGTCGACCGCGCATTTGTGTAATGGTTTTGTCCGTGACGGCAAATTCATACGGATCGTCGTAACATACCGCCTCGCACTGTCGTGCTCCTGTAATTGAGGCAAATGGGGTAGGGTTGGGAGTTCCATTTGACGCATGCATGTGCGTGTGCATGTACGCGCAATCGTTGATCAATGGTGTGAATGAGATTGCCTATCTATCGAAAGGACAACAAATATGTCGTGCGCGCGCCGACGCTTCTTCTTCTTGGTTTTTTTTTTTTTTGCTCCATGGGCACCCTGATCATGGTAGGCAAGTAGGTGTCACTCTCTGGACCCCCTCCTCTTTTTTTTTTTTTTTTTTTTTTTGTCTCATCTAGCACCGTGGCTAGCCCTTTTTCCGATACATCACATCGCTTTTTTTTTTTTT